GGCGGACCTGGCCTAGCCGGGAAGGCTGCCCAGCAAGATCCTAGGCAAAAACTGGCCTCAGAATCCACCAGCTGTATTTATCTGTATTTATCGAAGTACTGGATAGCAAAGGCTGGGTCCTCAGACACACAGATACTGTCTTCTGAAATTGCAGGGCCTCCCACATGTTGTACACGCTTGATGGAGTCATCCTTCTCTGCCATCTGAAAAGCTGTGGCCATCCCGGTGCCGAGTAGCTGAGACAGCCCTTTCCCACATGGTCAGCAGTTTTTTATTTCTGAAATGGAAAGGAACAACATTGTGTTGGTCAGTTGGCTCTGAATCCCAGGCCAGGGGTCCTGTCGCTGCCCCTAGAACCTTTCTCCTAATGTCTCCTCTCCTAGACCACAGAATAAGGGAGGACTTTCCATGGCTGACCAAACCAGATAACCACTTTTTTTTTTTAACTCATTCATTCATTCTTTCTTTGCACAGTTTTATGCCAGGGACCCAGCACCTACCAGTGAGGAGGTACTGGGGCAGGCCAAAGGGCAGGCAGACTGATAAGGAAGTCAGACTAAGAAAACGCTGACCTGGACAAAAGGGGCCGCAGGAAGAAGAGCAAGGTGGGGAGGTGGGCCCCACGTGGCATGTCCACCAGGACTCCAGACCATGCTAATATTTAGCCAGACCAGCTCCTCGAGGGGACAAAATCTCCAAAGACAGCGAGCCATGTCCAGCGGGTCCGGGTATGTCATTGTGTCCTGTTCGAGGACCACGTGGCTTCCCAGCGACCCTGCACACGGCGGTCTCCACAGCCTGCTCTGGCTCTTCTGGGACAGGAGGCTTTGTGATCCTAAGGGAGTAAACCCCTCCAAGTCCAGTCTGCCACTAACACAAACCACGTGTGGCCCTCCACGCCAGCTTCCACACTGTTTTCCTTGGACAGTGTGTCTTCTTTCTCTCCGCCACAAGCTGATGTGTTGAAAACTGCTGATGGAGTGTTCTCTCTTCCCCCTTGGAGGCCTGCAGTATGGCCACTTGACGTGGCTCCCTCTCCCTTCACATCGCCCAGACTGACTCACTTTCCTCCTCAGTTTCCAGTCCTCCTCACCTCGAGCACCACTTCCTTTTATTATCTGGGGGGCAGGGCATGGATTTTCTAGTTTCCCAGGAGAGCAGTCTGCACTGGGCCTCAGCCCGGCATGCATCTGCTCCTGTTGCTGCAGACCGCCTGGGTCTGGGGGTTCCCATGGAGTGTCTGGAATGTGGCCTGTGGGTGCTAAGTACAACAGCTCTCTGGATAGAAGCAGTTTGTAGGCTATGAGCCTGGACACACTAAGACCAAGAGCAAACTAGCTCACAGGCTCTGATCTCTGCTTGCCCATAGTCCTCTTAGATTGTCGTTCCCATTGGCAGGGTGATAAAGCAAACTAAAATTGGATATGGCTAAATGAGGAGGGTGGGTGTTCTAGTCCAGCCCTGCACCGTCTATGATGATGGCACTGGTCATGTGAGGCTATTTAAATTAATAAGAATTAAATGAAATTAAAAGTTTGATTCTCCAGTCTCTGGAGCCATGTTTCAAGCGCTCAGCCTTGGAGCTCCATCTAGGGCTAGTGGCTGCAGTAAGGGCCATACGGACACAGAGCTCTGCCATTACTGCAGAAAGTTCTGTTGGATAGCCAAGCTCTGACTCCCGAGGGCACTTGGATAGTCTGAGGACTTTGCTAACCTTGAAACACAGCCTTGTGATGGAATGTTATTCAGCCTTAAAAAGAAAGGACATTCTGACCTCTGCTCCAACGTGGATGAAACTTGAGGACATGGTACTGAGCGAAATAAGCCAAACACCGAAGGACGGACATTGCGCGATTCCGTGACATGCAGCACCGAGAACAGGGAGATCTGTACAGATGGAAAGGGCAGTGGTTGTTCCCAGGGGCTTGGGGTGGAGAATAAGGAGTTCGTATTCAATGGGGACAGTTTCAGTTTTGGATGACGAGGAGGTTCTGGAGATGGATGGTGGTGATGGTTGCACAGCAGTGTGAATGTGCTTAATGCCACTCGTTGTGTGGTCAGAATGGTCAATATGGTAAAGCAGTCCGCGGTCCTCCTTCCCCAGTGCTGACTTGGGCTCCCTGGGCCGGGAGGCTGGCCCCTGACATGGCAGCGGGCCCGAGGAAGCATCAGAATGTAATTCCGGGACTGCCTGGTCCCCAGGGTACAATCTGTGCTTAGACTTCACAGCGTGAAACCCAGATCTACCGCCTCAAATTAATAAATGACATTTGTGGGGTGGGACACTTCAGCTCTTTGGGCCACGCTCGTCCGGGTAAAAGCAAGTCAGGACAAAGGATGAGAGAGTAACTTCCTAAGGCGTGCTGTCAGAGACCACAGGCAGCGCTGGGGAGGCCTGTTGCTCCTTCCGACAGGCACAGAAGGAAGCCAGGAAGGGAACGGGTGGATGGATTACTGGCACATGCCATTCTTTTCTCCAGAGTTCCCTTTATCGGTGTTCCAGCATCGTCCTGACAAATAAAACTGAGAAGGACCAAAAAAAGACGGCGTTAGGCAAAACCTATCCTCTCTGAAAGACTCTGTAGCTGAGACCGATTGATCACCCCACTTTTCTAAAGAAAGCATGCTGTTCACCTGTGCACAAAATATTCCACTTACTTCATCTCGGGCTGATTTTTCACACTTGCGTGACACTCCAAAGCCGCCCTTCAGAGTGATCTTAGGGAAAGAGAGTGGGATCTCAATTAAGGTACCTGAACTAGCGTTGGTGGTATAGTGGTAAGCATAGCTGCCTTCCAAGGTACCGGAACTAGCCGGACCGTCACTCAGCTGGGCGACGTCAGGCAGCTGTCCATCTCTGCTCCCCAGTTTCTCCTTTCTGGGACATGGGGAGCAAACATTGGTATCACAGAGTTACTGCGAAGGTCAGATCAAGTCATGCGTGGAAAGGTGTACTGACCGTAAACTGCCAAACAGCTGTTAGTCGTGGTGACTAGTTAGTGTTTAATATTAGTGATACGAATAATATTAACTAGGGCACTTAGCAAACAGGTGAAGCTGTCCCCCACAGTGTTCCACTCGTCGCCTCTGTCAGTTTTTGCTGAGTGTCTACTTTGTGCCGGCATCGGAAAGCTCCTGGATGCAAAGAAAGCAGCCTGCCTTTGCCCACAGGCCTGCTATGGGCTCTCCAGTTGCTGAATGATGGTGGACCAAACATGTCCCATGATGTCCCAAACATGTCCCATTGCCACACAGCACAGAGTAGGGCCAACAGGAAACCACAGATCAGACCGTGACCTCTGGGCTGCTCTGCAGGGTGCCGGGCAGGCCAAGGCAGACCGGCCTACGCAGGGGCATCACAGAGGACAGCACCAGTGGGGCAAGGAGCCCCAACTCGCCTCCCAGGCCCACAGAGCAATCCATTATCATTGTCTCTGCTGTGTCATCAAGGCTGGTGGTGTGACGGCAGGGAAGGCACGGGCTTCCACCCCTGGCCGCATCGCCTGCTGGCTGCAAGCCCATGGCAGATTTCTTCCCTCTCTGGGCTCCAGTTTCCTGGCTAATCGTGTCCACCTTGAAGGAGTATTCAGAAGATTTAGTGAGAGCATGTGTCTAAAGAGTCTGGTCCGTGCCTGGCACAGATAACATGTTTCTCTTGCCCTTCCAGCCTCTCCTCCCCCTCCCTGCGCACAAGCCACGCTGCTTCAGACTTTCTTTCCTTCTACCAGAGGGGCATCTTGAATTTCTTTCTCCTGGAGGAGAAATGATGAACAGGCTTGTTACATTCCAGCCATCTCGCGGGGGGCTCAAGGGTCCCTTTCCCTCTGCTGGAATCTCGGGCCTAGGTGCCCGTAGGGTGGTTATGCTGCCGTGACAGAGAGCCTCTCTGTACAATAAGAGCCCGTCTCTTACTTGGGCTGCATGTCCGTCGGAGCTTGTTGGGGCCTCTGGACCCACAGGGGCGGAGAACACACACTGTCACACACACAGAGACACACCACTGTCTGCCATGGCCAGTCACATGGCAGAAAGAAGTGGAGGTAATGAATCACACACCACTCATGACTCTCCCACCCCAAAGTCACACATATCTCTTCTGCTCACATGTAACTGGCCCCATCCCACCGCCAGGAGGTGGGGAAGTACAGATCTACGGTGTGTTCAGGAAAAGAGCCAGAATTCTGATGACAGCCTCCATCATTGCCACGGTCCTGCTTTAATCCATAAAGTAACACTGCACGTCGGTCTCCCCTGAACACAGGGCCTATTTAGAGATGAGACCCAAGGTCTGTCAATTCCTCAAGACCACAAACAACAGGTCCTTGGGATTTTGTCCATCAAATCAGAGAGGCGTTATCACACTAGTAAAGGTTTCCAGTCTGGGGACTCTGCCCCTGTCCTTTCTCACTTCCACAGCAGCCTACACCTACCTCTGAAGGTGCTTCCTACACCACCCTGTAAGAATCAGTTTCCTTTTCAGTCTCTCTGAACTACGAGTCTTTTCATCTCCGAACCCCATGTGCCTAGCACAGAACGGGGCCCAGATCTATCTTTTGGACCAACTGCGGAATCTTAGCATGGCAGGGAAGTGTAATCATCTCACAGACCTAGACCTAACCAGCCTGAGTCTCAGTGATTTGTTACCCAACAAAACCTGCAATTCTTAGGAAACAGATTGACCTGCTGTCAGTGGAATTCTGGTGGCTCTGGGGGTGTTGTTCCCGTTTCCGGTCCTGTATTTGGAGACCCCCAGGAAAACTGAGAATGGTCTCTCCCAGCTCTGAGCCTTCACTGATACGGCGGCTGTGGACAGAGAATTGTTTTCACAGAGATCCTTCATCCCACTGACATTGCCTTCCCCATTAGTCTGGGTTTCTGAAAAGCTGAACACAGCAAGCCTTTGTATATCAAGTCACGTATTTCACATAATTCCCTTAAAATGTCAGAGATGCATTTATCATATTAAAGGCTTCCATTTTTGCTATTCTCCCCCTGTTTAGATGCAGATGTTGGACAAATTTCCCATGGAAGGAGGACAGAAGGATCCCAAACAGCGGATCATTCCCTTTCTGCCAGGTGGGTGAGACACATGCTGTCAGAAGGAGCTCTGGGGGATCCAGGACAACCCCCACATCTCTCAGCTCAGCTTCCTGGGACAGTGTCCTAATGACCAGAGTCCCAGTCATTTGTAGAAATTAGTGCCTAAGGATATGGGCTGTGGGGTTAGACGCTACACCATCTACTGAGGCAGGATACTTCAGCTCCAGGATCCTCAGTTTTTCTGTCTCTACAGTGGGAATAATTAGAGCTCATAAAGCTTTTGTAGTGTGTGGCATCTTTGTTTGGCTACAGTATGACTTTGCTATTGGCATGGTGTGAATTCACACCAATTTGGCAACTTAAAACTACCCTCATTTATTACCTCACAGGAAGTTCAGGCAGGTGCTGCTGGGTTCTCTGGTTAGAGTCTCCTAAGGCAGAAGTCATCATCTTGGCCAGGCTGGGCTCTTATCTACAGGATTAGAGAAAAATCCACTTCCAGCCTCATTCAGGTTGTTGGCAGAATTCAATTCCTTGCAGCTATGGAAATAGAATACGGGTTTCCTTGCTTGCTCTCAGCCAGGGACCCCTCAGCTTCCAGAAGCTGCCTGCATTCCTTATCCATCTTCTAGCTGGCACTGGGGCATTGAACCTTTCCCATGCTTTGATATCTCTCTGACTTCCCCTTCTGCTGCCACCTGTTGGAGAAGGCTGTTTGCTTTTAAGGACTCATGCATTATGTTATACCTACCTAGCTAATCCAGGATAATTTCCCTCTCTTAAAGTGAACTGTAGCATATGCTCTACAAGAGCCTAGGAGTGAGATCTCATCATATGCACAGGCTCTGGGGCTCTGGGGCTCTGGGGATAAGGATGGACATCTTTGAGGGCCCATTTTAGAAATTCTGCCTACCTGTCTGCCACAGTGACCAAGCACCTGCTGAGCTCCAGGCACTGTGTAGGAGTTAACACACTCATGGTTGATCCCTGCCCTTAGACATGAAGTGTTCCTTTCCCCCCAAAAAAAAATTCCTTTAGGAATAGTATTAAGTATGTCTACTGTAGGCCAGTCATGGGGCTAAGTGCTTTACATTCATCACCTTGTTTAGGCTTCAGAATAACCCTGTGCCCATTTTGCAGGTGAGGAAATTGAGGCTCAGAGAAATGATGATCATTTGCACAAATAGCAGAGCTGGGCTTCAAACACAGCTTTGGCTGGCTCCAAAATCCATGCCTGAAGTCAAATGGCCCCAGTTCAAATGCCAACGCCTCCGTTCATCCACTGTTACCTTCAGTGAATTATTTAAGCACAGAGTTTCATTCTTCATTTACAAATTGGAGATAATAGTGATACTTAAATAATAAAGTTGTTGTGAGGATTAGCTAAGTGCTAAGTAGCACATAACTAGCAGCAATCAAGCACTTACTATTATTTTTATATACAGATAATCAGCAAATTGACAGTCACCAAAACCACAAATATTTAGAGCTGGAAGGGCCCTTTAGATCTTTTTTATTTTGCAGACAAGGGAGCAGGCCAGAGAGGAGGGAGACTCCCTGGGTCCCTCAGGAGCCCACCCTCCCCTCCCTACTCCAGGGTTCTGCAGTCAGCAGTCAAGTGGTTCCTCCAGATATTAGTATCACAGAGTGGACTTAGAGACAGGGTAGATGTGTTTGCCAGGCCTCATCTACTGGGAGAATCATTTGCCTAAAAAAGCTAATGTTTTTAGTTCTTCCACGGAGAAAGTGTGCAATCACACTGGAATTTTTGTCTCCAGTTGGAGAAAACCCAGTGTGCCAACGCAGCAGCCAACTCGTAGTGCTCCAGAGCATGGGATTTGAAGTTAAACGGACCCAGTTCTGTGACTTCACACAGATGATAGCCCTCTGCCCCCGAGCCTCAGTTTCTCCATCTGTAAATGGGACAATGACTCCTGCTTTACAAAGCTCTCCCTGGTTACATAGTGGGCTCTCTGCAAAAGTCAGAAACAGGATCGTGGGACGTCCCTTGGGAATTTCTTGGTATTCATATTTTAGAGTCCTACTTAAATAAATGATCTGTCTGAATATTCAAGTTGAACTGGACTCCAAATGTAGGCTTTTTTCTTCCAGGAAGGAAAGGAAAGCAGTGAGTTATAACTCTTTACTGGATGAAAGGCAACAACCAGCTGTGAAAAAACTTCCCAGGACAGGGAAGAACTTGAGCTGACCCTCTCCCAAGGCCCTGAAAGCTTTCGTCGTTACAGAATCCTTTTTCCACCCACAAATTTATGAAAATGCTGTTCTCAGAGACTCAGCCCCATTTTTTCCTGCTTAGGGCACCCACTTGCTGCTCAGAGAGGTGTGGTCAGGCCCCAGGACCCCAGGAGCGTCCCTTCGTGGCTCACCACTTCACTTTTCCTTGAGGCCAAGGCCAAGGGCAGGGATACACAGGCGGCATGTCCCCTCTCCTAGGGGTCCATTTTCTGCCAAGACTGCCGCGTCAGCAGAAGAAAAGCAAGTCTCTTGTTAGCACAAAGGCAGGGGGAGGGGGAACAGCCCTGTACAATTTTCCATCCCAGCAAAAGCTGGGGAAGCCAACTTGGCAGAGGATGCGGCTTGAAAAATAAGACTTACAGTTTGGCCTTCCACCACTGTGGAAAACAAAAGCCTGCCCGTTCCCACCAAAGCCTGTGCACTCCACCAAGCACCCTTTCTGCTCCAGGAAGGCTGGAGCTCACCCTCCTTCCCCACAACTCACACAGAAACCCATCAGGCTCAGATAAGGGACCATTGCCCCCATTGGCATTGCATTCAGAGCCCCCGGCCAAGGAGGTACTGGCCGCATGGTTCTACCCAACAGCCTAGGGCCTGAGCTGGCTTCCAGGTCTGCAGCGACGGGTGATGAATTAGCCTATCAGAGGCAGGCCTTAAGAAACCAGCCAGGCCGAGGAAAGAACACGGGCCCTTAACTGAGGAGTATGAGGCAGTATCATCTAACTGGTTTCAAAAATTAAGTGATTACTCTTTTTTGAGCACCTAGGAAGGGCCAAGCCCTGTGCTGGATGAGTCATGGAAGTTACTTCTAACAGATACAGGCTGTTCTCCCATTTTACAGATGAGGAGACCAAGGCTCTGGGAGGTAAATGCATTTCCCAAGGCAGCACAGTCACCCTGGATTGGCTGAGTTCAGCGCCTGTGGCCTCCCCAGCAGGTGCCACCACAAGTCTTCCTGTCCCCCTTGCTGGCAGGGCACCTGCCATATGCCCAGAGACTCCTCTCCCACTGGGGCCCCGCGGAGAGAAAAGTGGTGCTTTTGTTGTCCTGTCACACCCTCAGGAGACCTTGAAGGTACGGGAGTTCTCCATCCTTCTCTCTCAGCCCCTGCAGGCTGGGCCTTGAGAAAATTCTCTCTGTCAGTGGTGACTCCAGGACCAGCCTGTACTGTTCCCACGGGCGGGTGCCTGCATCGTGCCTATTGTGAATTGTTAGAGTTGGGTCACAACCTCCCCAGTAAGAAGCCTGAACACCCCACTCCCCACCCTTCCTCTGATTTAGAGAAGGGGACATTATATCATAATGGGACCAAAATGGTTTTGGTAGGGACTCCTCTCCAGTTCTGAGAAACAGATTAGCGGCAGGAAGCATCTACTGTGGGAGGTTTCTCTTCAGGCAGGCATTCCTTATTTTTCCTAAAGCCTCAGGATTCTCCTTGCGGGGGGGGGGGGGGGGGGGCGGTGTTCTAAACTGCTAAAGGTTCCACCCACGAGGGTGGTAATTTGATTATCACAATGACTGGGGGTGGGATAGGGATGGGCCACGGATGCTAAGCATCCTGAAGGGTGGGGGACACTCCCACACAGGGAAGGACTGCCCCACCCAGAACGTCAACAGGGTCCCTCCCTGTTGGGAAACACGGACTGTCCGTGCCTAGAGGGCAGGCCCTCTGCCCTGGCCCATTGAGGGCTCACAGAGAGACTGCACCTATCGACTGAATAAAAGCAAGGACACCAGGTTGTAAACCCTCCCCACTAGGCTGCGTAATTTGCTTTTTTAATGGGAAACAGCATGAACATTTTCTGATTTCAGAAGCAATATATGTTTATGGTAGGAAATTTGGGGAAAGTCAAAGAAGAAAACAAAAAGGCTCTGTCTTCCACCACTTGGAGACAAGCACTTTGAAACCTGTGATGCATTTTGTTCTAGATTTTTATTTTCTAATAAACATGGTGTGTCAGAAATTTGACTGACTTATAAGCAAAATTAAAACAAGCACCATAATAAACAAAGGAGACTCCCTGTTATTAAAGAATTTGAGGAATATGCATTTTATCTCACTGTGGGTTATTGTTTTCTTTCAAGTGGAAGAAGTTAAGCAGGAAAAAAAAAACTTCAACATTAGGTTGACCATATCTACCTAATTTCCTAATTGTGCCCTTTTGCCCAAGAGCCCGTGGTCAGATTATTTTAAACGTTAGGTTAACCCCTTTGGCTTTTTGGGTGCAAATCTCCCTTACCAGCTTGCATTGCAAATCTTGGAGTCAATAAGCTGTTTCCCATCATCCCTTTCAATTCTGTCTTACACAGACTCCTTTGGACCTTTCCTGCCATTCTGTTCCTGCTCACCCAAGCTCTATCTGTGGACATTGCAGCCCCCCAGAGCCATGCAGGAGCACTGGTTGACCTCTCCTTGCCCTGCCAGGCTTGTGACCGAAATTCCTCTCCTTGACCTGCCTCCTCTGAGCAGAAGTAGGGGAAGCTCTTCATAGCTCTCCATGCTCTGCTATTGGAAAAGCTGTGGTCTCCCTGTGCCCTCCTCTTTGACCTCCCCCTGGATACCTCCTGCACTCTGCATAAGCTTGGCAGAGGGGCTTGCCTCCATCCCCCACCTCCTTGGCCCCCCCCCCATGTCTTATTTCTGACTTTGCCTGCCCCCTGCCTGTGCCACAGGTCCAGAACGATGAGGCCAAGCTATCTTATTGGTCAGTGCATCCTCCTGGCCACCATCTGCCCATGACTCTCCCCTGTTAGACTCATGGGAGCTTACCAATCTGCTTTAAACAAACCTGAGCATTTTAGCATCTTGGATCATCAGTGGCATTGTTTTTATACTTGTCTTTGTGCGTGACCTGCCCACACGTTCCACTGGAAGCTCTGGTACCACATCCAGTGCTCAGGATATCACCAAGCAAGCAGTAGATGCAGTCTTGGTTAATTTTCAGTGAGGGAGGAAGTCTTGGATCCCTTCTGTTACAAACAGCTGATTTGAGGAAGAGATTGGAAGGATTTGTCATCTTGGCAAGTGAAATCCACCTTTATACATGCATCAGGTATGAGTGCCGTGTGGTGAGGGTACGAAATTGATCAAGGTCCGGTCAAATCCTGTGTGTACAGAGTCCCCGGACTAGGAGGAAAGAGGAAGCTCTAAATCGACAGTGTGTGTGATCAGAAAGAGACAGGAACTCTTAATCCATTTGAAGTAGGTCAAAGTTTCTCAACTGGGATGGTGGGTGAAGCTGGATAAGAAGGTAATCCAGACAGAGGGAAGGCACAGAATAATGAAAGACTGTGGGGTATTTGCGGAACGTAAGACCAGACTAGGCATAGGACAGAGGAGAAAAGGAGGTTGAGCTGTTAGGTGCAACATATCATTGTCCTTCTACTGCTTACTCCATCTGAGAACCCAAGAGTTTGATCATCAGATCTAACCTTTCTTCTTCATCTGGTAGGAGCCCCCTCCTTTCCCAGGATTTATCCAGCCTCTCTCATCTCACCAAAATTTGCCTCCTGGGCTCCACTCCCTCAAGCCCTTGTACTTGAGCTGTGAACAAGTCTTTGGAGGGCCATGCATGGGGTCCTCCAGGCCCTGTGGCCATCCAGCAGGGGATATTAATGGAAACCAGGAATTTGGGTACCACTCAGACATACCACAGGCAGCCACATCCACACCCTCCAGGTTTGCTGAGAACTTACCATCACCCCCTTACAATACAGTGTGTGCTCTCCTCCTCTTCAGGCAAAATTCTCTTCCGAAGGAGCCATATCCGGGACGTGGCCGTCAAACGCCTCATACCGATTGATGAGTACTGTAAGGTAAGTCTAAGAAATGCTAACACTTCCCTGTGTCTCGTGTCTTCCTTTGAGTTGTTTCTTTTCTTCTTTTCCCTTTCTGGCTACAGAAATAGTCATTGTGAGCAATTCGCAGCTAAAAGAAACGTAAAATCAGAAAATCAACCACCTATGAGTCCTCAGAGGCAAAAATTATTAAGGTTTCTACGTTTCTAGTTTTTCTCTCTATGTGCATTTCTTCATGGTGTTGACACCACCCCATATGTGTTATTTTTGTGGCTCTTTCTTTTTTAATATTGTGATATAAGAATTTCCCAATGGTATAAAAACATCTTCTTGAGCCTACCTTAAATGACTGCGTAGTGTTCCGCTGAGTGTTAATATTCCAGAAGTTACTCAGTCCCTGTCATTGGACAGGGCAGCTGGCTTCCAATCCCTTGAATGTTCTAAACCACAAGGGGCCTGCCTTTTGCTTAGATCTCCTTTGATTTGTGGCTGTGGTTGAGAAAGAAGCATGCTTTTCCTTTGTTTAGGTTCCCTTATCTTAAGTATTTATTTCTTGAACTTAAAATCACTAATAGTTCTGATTGAAAAGGGTGGAAATAGCAAGAAATGCCTTAACAGTGGGGCAGCCAGTGCTCTCTCTCCCAGAGACTGGAAACAGAGCAAGTATATTTGTTCTTCTCACTTCTGTCTTACATTTTCCTGGAGGTTCTAGCCAGCGTAAGCAGGCAAAAAAGAAAATAAAAGGCATACAGTTTGGAAAGGAAGAAATAAAACTGCCTTGATTCACAGATGATATGATTCTGTTGTAGAAAATCATAAGGGATCCACAAGAAAAAAAAACTACTAGAACTAATAAACAAGTTTAGTAAGATCATAGGATACAAGATCAATATAAAAAAATCAACTGTGGAGGCACCTGGCTGGCTCCTTCGGTGAAAGGTGAGACTCTTGATCTCAGGGTCATGAGTTCAAGCCCCATACTGGGCATGGAGCCTACTTGAATAAATAAATAGATAAATAAATAAAACTCTTTCCTTATAAAAAACAATCAGTTGAACCTCTAAAGACTAAGCATGAACAATCCAAAAATGAAATTAATCATTCTACTCACAATAAAATCAAAAAGAGTAAAATACTTAGGAATGAATTTGAGAAGTACAAGGTTTATACATTGAAACTACAATACACGGTTGAAAGAAATTAAACCAGCTCTGAAGTAATGGAGAGACATTCCATACCCATGGACTAGAAGACTCAACAATGTTAAAATGGCAATTCTCACTACTCAGCCATCAACAAGAATGAAATCTTGCCATTTGCAATGACACGGATGGAACTGGAGGGTATTACACTAAGTGAAACAAGTCAGTCAGAGAAAGACAAATACCGTATGATTTCACTCATACGTGGAATTTAAGAAAACAAAACAAACCAGCAATGGAGGGGGAGACAGAAAGGCAAACCAAGAAACAGACTCTTAACTACAGAGAACAAACTGATGGTTACCAAAGGCAAAGAGGTTGGGGGACGGGTGAAATAGTGATGGGGGTTAAGGAGCACACTTGCTGCGATGAGCACCAGGTAATGTATGGAAGTGCTGCATAGGGAAGTGCTCATGTTACCCTAAAATTAATATTACACTGAATGTTCACTAACTGGAACTTAAAGAAAAACTTTAAAAAATCTAGGAGAATAAATTAGAATTTGGGGGTCAGGATTAATTTCTTAATGAGAAAAATGTGTGTGTGTGTGTGTGTGTGTGTATTATATATACTTGGAATTTGTAGAAATTGTAGAAATTGATGTGAAAAAGACAACCATACAGGGAAAATGGGCAAAGGACAGGGTTGGAAATATAAAAAGAAAAAACAAAAACAAACAAAAAAGCCCAATGACAAACAGTAACAAAAAAGATACAAAATAAAATAAAATGGCAGTTTTTCCCCAGTTGATCTCTATATAATCTCTGTCAAAATCCTAGTAAGCTTTTTTGTAGAAATTAACAAGCTGATCCTAAACTGTGTGGAGAAATGCAAGGAACCCAAAATAGCCAAAATAATTATGAAAAAGAAGAATAAAATTAGAAGCTTGTAGTACCCATTTCAAAACTTCTACAAAAGCTACGGTAATCAAGACAGTGTGGAACTGGCATAAGGGCAGGCACATAAATCAGTGGGACAGAAATGAGATCCTCGAAATAAACTTTTGTGAAACTTATGGTCAATTGATTTTCAGCAGTAGTGCCAAGAAATTCAGTAAGAAAAGGATAATCTTTTTAACAGTGTGGGATAATAGAACATCCATACGCCAAAAGGAAAAAAATTAAGTTGGATCCCTACCTCATACTGTGCACAAAAATCAACTCAAAATGGATCACAGACCTAAACATAAGAGCTAAAATTATAAAACTTCTAGAAGAAAACATAGACGAAAATCTTCATGATCATGATTTAGGCAGAGAGTTCCTAGACAGGACACGAAAAGAGAAAAATTGATCAACTGGGCTTCATTAAACTTCTGAACTCTGTACTTCAAAAACATCACATGAGGGCGCCTGGGTGGCTCAGTGGGTTAAGCCGTTGCCTTCGGCTCAGGTCATGATCTCAGGGTCCTGGGATCGAGTCCCGCATCGGGCTCTCTGCTCAGCAGGGAGCCTGTTTCCCTTCCTCTCTCTCTGCCTGCCTCTCTGCCTACTTGTGATCTCTGTCTGTCAGATAAATAAATAAAATCTTTAAAAAATAAAAAAAAATTAAAAAAAATCACATGAAGAAAATGAAAAAATATGTCACAGATTAGGAGAAAATATTTGTAAATCATATCTCTGACAAGGGACTTGTATTGAACCTATATAAAGAACTCTTAAAACTCAACCATAAAGATGACCCAGTTTTAAAACAGACAAAAGGGGTGTCTGGGTGGCTCAGTCAGTTAAGCATCTGCCTTCAGCTCAGGTCATGATCCCAGGGTCCTGGGATCAAGCCCCACATCAGGCTCTCTGCTCAGCAGGAAGCCCGCTTTCCCCCCTTCCCCCACCCCCATTTCTGTTCCCTCTCTCGCTGTGTCTTTCTCAGTCAAATAAATAAATAAAATCTTTAAAAAATAAATAAATAAAAATTAAAATAGACAAAAAAGATTTGAGTAGAAATTTCACCCAAGAAGATGCATGATGGTTATTAAGGCTGTGAAAAGGTGTTCATCTTCATTAATCATTAAGCAATGAGAAATCTGCAAAGCCATGGGAATGGCTATAATCCATCCACAAGACAGCAAAACCAAGAGCTGGTGAGGATATGGAGAACCTGGACACATGATAGGACATTCTGGTGGGGATACATGATAGGAAGCCATTTGGGAAAACTAAAGCACTTTCTTCCACAAGTGAAATTGACCATGTGGCCACTCTTAGGTATCCAGAGAATTGAAAACATGTCCACACAAAGACTTGGATGTATATGTTTGTAGTAGTACCAGTTCATAATAGCCAAAAACTGGAAGCAATCCAGATGTCCATCATCAGGTACATAGATAAAGAAAATGTGGACTCTGCATACAATGAAATATTTTTCAACAATAAAATGCAGTGAAATCCTGATAAATGCTGCAAGTTGGATGAATCTCAAACCCATGATGCTGAAAGAAGCCAGATACAAAAGACGACGTGTTGCATGATTCTATCTACATGAAATGTGCAGAAAAGGCAACTTTATAGAGACGGAGAGCAGATCAGTGGTTTCCGAGGCCTGAGGACAGTGCAGGCAGAGATGGACCACACATTAGGTGGGGGAAATTTTTGAGGTGATGGAAAAGTTCTAAAACTAGATTGCGGTGATGGCTGCACAACTCTATAATTTACTAAATGTCATTGAATTGTATCCTTCTAATGGGTGGGTTTTATGATACATAAATTATACTTCAATACATCTTTAAAAAAAATATAAAGGGGGGCATGCGGTGTGGGGATAGATGACCCTTGTCTTGGCAGGAGACATCACGTGGGCAGAAAAATCACTCCTGATCACTCCTGTCTTCTTGCCAGACATGACCTCATTTCACCCCTCCAACAACCTTAAGAAATAGGTTTTATTATTCCCATTGTGTAGACGAGGAAACAGAGGCCCAACAAAGTTCTCTCTCTTTCCCTATGCCCAAAATGAATAAATAAATGTTTTTTTAAAAAATCCTGGAATAAAAAGAGATAGCAGCTCCCTGCATCTGGCTGCTGCTTGGAATGGTATAGAGATCATGAATTCACCTGGATTCTGGATTTGCCATAGGGAAGAAATGGCTTATGTCATGTGAGCCATATGGAAGTTACCACTCCCTACTATTAATGCATCATAAGGAGCAGAACAGATATTTTGGGGTTTGGGTTGGCCAAATTCCCCAGCCTGGCTTCAAGGTAACTGCCCTCCTGGAAGGAGATGAAACCATCATTCACAAAGTCTGCAAAATCTTTTACAGACTACACAGACTTACTAAACATTTGAGTATCTGTTATTAACATTGTTGTGAGCTGACTTAAGCCAATTTAATCTATAACTATTAGCTTTATTTTAGTAGAAATTGGTAATCTCCAATAGGTAAAGATAGACAAAGGCTGTGGGTATCCCAAATCTAATTCCAACTAGGAAGAAACTTTCTACTCTATTAGATCTGTTATAAAGTTACAGTAATTAACATAATATGGTGTTGGCACAACAATAGGCAGACCATTAGAACAAAATAGAGAAGCCAGAAACAGACCTGTGTGTTTTTGGACACTTTAATATTGGCAAAAGCAGCCTTGCAGGTCATTGAGGAAAGGGTGGATTCCTCAGTAAGTGGGAATCCTTATGGGAAAAAACAAAGCAAAACAAAACAAAACAAAAGATAGCTAACCCCTGCCTCACACCACACATGTAATCATTTCCAAGGAAATTAAAGACTTAAATGTAAGAGGCAATAGTATAAAAGGTTTTAGAAGATAAAAACGGGGTGGGGGGTACTTTATAATCTCTAGGTATAGAGAGATTTTTAAA